AAAAAAACAAAAACAATCCAAAAAACCATCCTTTTCAAGTAAGAGCAACAGGCTGTTTCATTTTGTCTCTCTCTTGTCTCTCCTGCTCCATTCTCATCCTTAGGCTATGGCCTCCCTTCTGCATTCCTGTGATCTTGCTTGTTTTTCTGAGCTGGATCCTCATAAGAATGGACTTAAAATGGGAACCTCTTAACACAAGATAAGAGGATGCCAGCACAGAGTTCACCAGCTACAGTAAGTGCCTGGTGTCTGATTCAAGCTCCTGGGAAAAGCTGATCTCTGCAGGTATCCCCTAGCTGATCTTCATCTAAAATATCCTATACCTGGCCAGGTGTGGAGGTGCACACCTATAATTCCAGCTATGGGGAAGGCAGGAGGATTTCAAGTTTGAGGCCATAGCAACTTAGTGAGACTCTGTCTCAAAAATAAATTAAAAAGGACTGGGAATGCAGCTCAGTGTTAAAGCATCACTAGGTTCAATCTCCAGTACTATGTAAACAAACAAAGGAGCACCTTATATTTTCACGGAAACTCAAGGGAACTTGAGATATTAATATGACCCTATCTGTGTTGCTAGCACCCTTAATAAAAGCTTGCTTTCTTTTCCCCAAATGCTCATCTCTCAGACATTGACTTTCCATGTGATGGGCTTCCAAACCTGAGTTAAGTAACATAAGCCACAGTTAAGCATCACATTTGCCTTTGTATTGCTTTATTTTGAATTCCTTCATGATGAGAGATGATACTCAGAGCATGTGGTCTCTATAGATTTGAATGTGCCCTGCCTCTCCCTGAATTTCAGAGCCAATCTGACCCATCCCTCATTCTAGGCTGCTGCAGAAAATGGTTCTGAACTCCTTAGCAGGTATTTCTTTTCCTTTCTTGGGGTTTTTTCTGGGGATAATTTTGAGTAATAGTTGTGACTGATTCTTTGGAGATTTTGGTCATTGGAGAGGGTGCAATGTCCCTGGGAGTGATCTTTGGCTGTTTGGGATCTAGGACGGTGTTGATGCAAAGTGATGCTCCTAAAAGACAAGGTGAAGGTCCAGGGAAGGGTGTTTCCTGGGTGTGTGGAGAGTGGTGCTGGGATTGAGGTGCTAAGGGGTGATTACTGAGCTAGTGGGAATGGAGATGTTAGATGTAGACATGGCTGGGCATCTGCTGGGGTTGCACCTGGGTTCAAGGTTGAGTTCTTCCTTGTAGAAGATGCAGATTGTGTTTCCTAATCTTTTCAAACAGGTATGGGAGGATGGGAAACAGTGACTGGTGCAGCTTGAAGCCTACATGTCCTCTGGGAGGGTTTTTCTCCATGTTTTTATTGGTTCATTAGAGTTGTACATATGGATGGGATCTATTGTCACATATTCTTACATGCACACAATATAACAATATAATTTGTCCAACATCACTCCCCAGCACTTCCCTCCTCCCTCCCCACCTCTCACTCCTTGGTCCCTTTCCTCTAAGATCTCCCTTTGATTTTTTAGGAGACCCACCCCCACCTCTGTTTTTCTTTTTCCTCTGTAGCTTCTGCATTATGAGAGCAACATAACCTTAGCCTTCTGAGTTTGACTTATTTCACTTAACAGGATAGGGGAATGTACAGGATGGGTGACATGCCCACTGTGCAGGTGGCTTCTTCAGATCCACTTTAATAAAACTCCATTGTGTACATATGCCATCTTATTTTTTGTCCATTCATCCATTGATGGACACCTAGGCTGGTTTCATAGTTTGGTCATTTTGAATTATGTTGCTATAAACATGGGTATGCATGTATCACCATAGTAAGATGACTAATTCCTCAGGGTAAAAACCAAGGAGTGGTCTAGCTGTGTCATATGTGGTTCCATGCCTAGTCTTTTTGGGGCACCTAAGTGACCTAAAATCTCATTTTCTAAAAACAAGCATTTTTTTTTTGTTGTTGTTGTTTTGTTTTGTTTTTTCTGTTAAGTAGGTACATGTGCATCTGTTTAAACAAAAAAAAAAAAAAATGCTGTCTTTTCTATATTGTTTTATTGGGTAGTTTTCTTTTCCACTCAGAAAATGCATCATTTTCCCATGTCTGTTGTGAGCTTTTCATTTTGGTGGCCAGAAAACCTGACATAAACAACTTAAAGGAGGAAAAGTTAATTTTGGCTCATGGTTTCAGAGGCTTCAGCCCAGGGTCAGCTGCTCCAAGGCAGAAACATCTTGGCAGAAGGGCATGGTGGAGGAGGCTTCTCAGCTCATGGCAACAGGGAAGAAGATAGGGAGAAGGGGGGGGACACGCAAGAGGGAGGGAATGTTCCCCATTTTTTAAGTACTTGCAAATTGAGGCACCATAATTATCTAACATCAAACCAGCCTTAGGAGTCTCTAAAACCATAAAGGAGCTCCCTGAACTTGTCTCTAAAAAAGAAGGGAGGGTAGCTTTGTGGTAGAGCATTTGCATAGCATGAGTGAGGCCCTGGGTTCAATCCCCAGCATCATTTAAAAAAAATAGGAGCCTCCCAGTGGCTCAGGAGTCTGAGGCAGGAAGATCTGGAGTTCAAAGCCATCCTCAGCAAGGCCCTAAGCAACTTACTGAGACCCTGTTTCAAAATAAAAACTAAAAGGGCTGAGATGTGACTCAGTGGCAAAGCACCCATGGGTTTGATCTCCAGTACCATAGAAGAAAAAGCCTCTAGCTATTTTCTCTACTGTCTGCCCCCTGATTCTGTTCTTGTAAGATCTGTATCATCTTAATAATACTGGAGCATAAACCATGTGTGAGTGTCCCCCAGAAATCAAAGGATAGAAGAAATGTCTGTTAAATTCTACTATAAGATTTAAAACAAGTGATCTAAGTTTACTACTCAGAATAGGACGTGAGCTGTAAATAGATCCTCTTCCATTGAAGTTTGCTCAACTCTGTTCTATCACAGACTTCCTCTCTATTATAAGATCCTTCTTTTAGTTTTTGGTGGTACTGGGGATGGGGTCTTGCACATGCTAGGCAAATGCTCTCCCACTGGGCCACACCCCAGCCTTCTAGATCTTATGCCCTTGCCATTTTAAATATCATAATTTCTCAAGTGCACCTAAATTACTTGAGATTTCAGGGACAGTCTTTTCATGAGGGCCTTAATTTTCTTGAGGACCCGAAGTGGAGGATCCTGGGCCTCCTGGACATGCTTGGAAGCAGGAATCTTCCTTAAGAATCTTTTTAAGAAATGGACAGGCATTGCTCATTCAGCTGTATCCCTGTGGCAGAGACCCCTGGCCACTGGTCAGATGGGCAGCAGGGAAAAGACTAAAAAGTCTGATCCTGGTGGGGGCTCAGAGAGTACCTCAAGGGAATATGGGACAGATCAAGAGTCTGGTCCCTATAGAGGCCTATATTTTTCCCCCAGAAAAACACACACAAAAAAACTTTGAAGCATGCAAGTTATAATATCACGGCTAATTCACTGTCTATCTTTGAGAACTCATCCCTTAGGTACATATTAAGTAATCTGGATTATTTTAAAGTAGAGAATTTATAAAGAAAAATATTTTTTTTCCTGTACCATGACTTTGTCCCAAAAAATTAGACAATGGAGACTTGTTCTATAAATAAGAAGGAAAATAGAAAAAACAAAATAGACTACCTGGTTTTTCCACTTGGCTGCCTTTGGGGGGGGGGGGGAAACAGGTTTTCAAGGGTTGTTATCTTAAACAATTATTTAAGGACTAATTCTCAACCTCACTTGGAACTAAAGGATAAAAGGGGATCTTCCTTCTTACAGGATTGTAAGGAGGGAAATAGGCTGACAGGGATCTGTCTACCTGTGGATGGACCAGTGGCCACCAGAAACATCGATTCAGGTCCACCATGATTGGAGACCCTGCCCAGCCATCCCCAACTGTGAGGGCCTCCCCTCATCTGTGTCCTCTGTTCTGTAATCTATTGCCATGTTACACGAAAGACATCTGTGACAAGCTGTTTTGGTGTTTGAGCCCACAGTTTGGTTGTTCCCTAGTTTTTTTGGCAATGTACATTGACCCCCTCATCCCTTCTTTCCAGTCATCCAGGGATTTCTAAGCAATCCAAGATTTCTCTGAAAATCATGTGGAGTTGTTGGTTCTCAATTGTTGGGTCTTTTTAGCAAATTAGGGGTTTCTTTGAAATTAATTCAGAGTTTTTTCTTAAGCTATTTTTTTAATGGAAAAAGCCTTATTTTTGACAAGTCAATTTGTCTAGAATATACACTACAGGCGTAAGGAGCTGGAGTGTTTGTTTGGGAGATCTCTGTTATGAAAGTGAAAAGCATCAAGTCTATCTCGGAGCGCATCAGAGAAGTTTTGATTGCAATGTGGCCTATACATGTAAGAGTGCATACTGGTTGAATTAATTAACTTGACAATCAGCTCAACTGGGTTAAACTCTGATGACTGCAGCAACAGATTTACCTACTAAGATAGGGATTCTCCTTCAGAACAGCTTCTTTCTGGGTTCAGGGAACTATGGCAGATCTTCTGGAAGGTGCACACTTGGGCCTGGTTGCCCTCTCATCCTGAGCCACCCTGCTCACTCCTTGGTGCCTGGGGATTTTCTGAGACATATAGGAAGGATTGTCCAGCCCAATGGTGAGACAGTGGGGAGTAATTCCTAAGAACAGCACATTTTATTGACCCAAAACATTTCCTGAGCCATAGTCCTTGCTTCTGTCATAAGATAGGCTTCTAAATGAAATGGTCAAAAGTTTGTTTTATTTTGAGCCTTTTTTTTTTTTTTTTTTTTGCCTCTTGTAAATTCACTTCTTTTTTTGATTCTCTGTGCTTAAATTATATACTTTTATTTTATCTGACTTAAAGAATTTTAATTTTTTCTAACTGTTGAAGATGTTTTTCTGTCTCTGAAAAGAAACTTGTTATTTGAGCTTTGCTGGCTTTAAGAAGCAAAGTTTCTACTGGTCTCAACTTGGAAAATGCAAATTTAAGATACACAGATATGGTTTCTCTCTCTTTTCTTCTCTCTCTCTCTTTTATAAATGAAGAGATATATGGAATGCTTCATAAATTTGTGAATCATCCTTCTGTAGGAGCCATGCTAATCTTCTCTGTTTCACTCCAATTTTAGTCTGTGTGCTGCCAAAGGGAGCATAGCAGACATGCTTTTGATATCAGGGCAAAAGTCTGACTTCTAAAACTAGCAAATGAGCCAAGCATGGCTGTGGAAACTTCTAATCCCTGCAAGTTTGAGGCCAGCCTCAGCAATGTAGTGAAGCCTTAGGAAACTTACCTAATCATGTCTCAAAATTTAAAATTAAAAAAAAAGCTGGGGATGTGACTCAGTGCTGAAGCACCTCCCTGGTTAAATCACCAGTACCAAAAACAAACAAACAAAAACTAGCAAATGACAAATCTAAGCTTTGAAATTTTATCATATGTGCCTATATGCTTATATACTTATATATTTTGTGTTTGCATGGTATAAATTGACTTACAGATAAGTAATTTCAAACTTGAAACCTGCCAAGTTAGGCCCATGATTCACATGACCTTAACAAATCTAGACCAATAACTTGAATTGGTTGGCAATGAGGGTGTCTTTAAATTTTAGTAACCAATATTTTGGCCCGCTAACCAGTTGGGATGTTTATCTCCAGATATTTAAGATACAATATTCAATGCTTTCTATGTCCACAAATAATCTAAAGATAGATATTAAAATGAGTCCACATGATGTTCTAATCAAGGCGATGCTTCATTCTTTCCATTTTTCTTTTTTGGTACTGGGAATTGAACCCAGGGGCACTTTACCAGTGAGCCATATCCCCAGCCCTTTTTTATTTTTTTATTTTTGAGACAGGGTCTCGCTAAGTTGCTTAGGGCCTCACGAAATTGCTGAGGCTGGCTTTGAACTTACCATCCTTCTGCCTCAGCCTCTTGAGTCACTGGGATTACAGGAGTGCACCACTGTGCTTAACTCACTCTCTCCTTAAAATGCCCTTCAAAATTGTTAAATGAATCTTGTGCTAATTTCAAAAGTCATTTGCATCAATTAAATGTTGTAGAATGCTTTTTACCAAAAAGATTATTTCTTTTGACAATAAATGTAGATCTTTCTAATATGTTGTCATACCTGCTTTTATTTCCTTCAGGATTTATATTATTTTAAATGTCTTTCATTTTCTCTATTCTTAATAATCTGTAGACATAAGATAACAATGAATTTTATTTTTAAGTTGCAATTTTACCCGAATATTTTTTTAAGTTTGATGTATGTCTCTCCTGTTAATCATGAGACTTTAATAATGAGTATCAGATTTAAATAACTGCTATTTTCCAAAGCAATATAAATTTAAGGAGAACTTGTTCTATGCCATTAAATCATGACTGTTGTCCTAACATTGATAGAGGTAATTAAATTGTTTTGCTAAGTTGCTATGTTCTCTATAATATCTTCTATAGTGTTAGTAGTCATTTTACATAATGTAAACTATATCTCTGTAGTTAATAAGGGGTGATCCTGACTTATTTATCCTCAGGATATGTGTAAGACTCATTCCTTCTCTCTCTCTCTCTCTCTCTCTCTCTCTCTTTAGGTACTGGGGATTGAACCCAGGGGCACATTATCACCAAGGTATATCCAAGATCCTTTTTATTTTATTTTTTATCTTGAGACAAGGTCTTGCTAAATTGTGTAGGGTCTTCCTAAGTTGCTTAGCCTGGCCTTGAACTGGCAATCCTCCTTCCTCCTCAGCCTCCTGAGTCACTGGTATTACAGGCATGCATTACTGTGTCCAGCTCTAAGTTGAGCATAACAGTAGAAAAGAAAGAAGATAATTTAGGGCCAACACAGGGATCATTTACTTGGTCTTGAACACCAGCAGGAAAGTAAAATCAAAGAGAAATGTACTAATATAATAATGGAAGAAAACTCAAAGAATATTTATGAGGGGCTGGGGTTGTGGCTCAGAGGTAGAGTGCTTATCTAGCAAGTATGAGGCACTGAGTTCAATGCTTAGATAGATAGATAGATAGATAGATAGATAGATAGATAGATAGTCAGGAATAGACCTTTGAAGGGGAGAGATAATGTTTCTTTTAAACATAACTTGAGATGTACCCTTGTTGTAGGAACAGATAAGATTAGACACCAAGGAATTAGCAGAAAGCAGATTTATTTATAGGCTGCAGCCAGGTCCAGAGGGAAAGCTTTTGCTGTAATCAATCAATTCCCTTGAACCCCGAGTTTAGAAAGTTTTTGGACTTCATACCTAGCGTGTAGGGGGAGGGGCTCAGAAGTTCACAATCTGCAAAAGTCCACAAAAAAGCAACTTTTTCACTGTTCTGGGCAAATTAACCTAGGCCTGGATACAAAATCAAGAACACTCTGCAAAAACCAGCACCTGAGAAAGGGAAATTTCCCCCTCCCTTTTCTTGGCAAATTGTTTCCCTGGAAACCAATTAGCAACGTCTTCTCTTCTCTTTGAAATGTAAATATCCCTGTGAAACTCACTGGCACCAGGCCAGAGGCCTTGTTAAAAGAATTTGTCAGCCTTATCACTCTGCATTTGTAAACACACTTTCTGCCTGAAAACCATTACAAAAAAATCATATACTATTTCAAACTAGAAAATCTACAACAGTAGATAGCCGGTAAATGCTATGAAAGATTAGTAGAGCGGTGCTCAGCATCTGGAGTGCTGATCTCGCCCACGGCCAGAGAGCAACAGGAAACAGGAAGTTTAACAGCATTGAACTCTTCTATAAAAACTAAGAGGTGTCCTTATTTCTGGTGATAAATATCAAAGGAGACTCTGCTAAAATCATAAGTTTGTACTGACTTAAGTCTCATTTAACAGAACTGTTTTTTTAAAAAAATCCAGATCCTAAGATATATACAGATGGGAAATTATTAATGCTTTCCTGCCTAAATTCACCTGGGTGTTACCACTAGTGGGGACTTTGGTTACTATACTTCATATTCTAGTAAGTTCTGTATCTTCTAAATTGCATGTTCTAGTTCCATGATGCAATCCAGGAACAGGGCAAGGATTTCAACCCATCCCAATGACTGACAGCTGTCTGTTCTATCCCCATTAGATCAGGCAGAGACTAGATCCTCAGTTAGGCAGGGTCATCAATCCATGCCAGCTCCACACAGCTCTGGAGAATCACTCACCCTTCATCACCACTTGAGAATAAATGGTTGCAAATCTTACAGAGTCCAAAGGGTGGGAAGAGATAGATAGGAATTTGGGGATACAGAAAAGAAATGGTACCCTGAGTCTCAAATAGAAGCATGGATGAACCATTAGAATGTAGGAAGCACTCATGGACTTTTGAAATTCAAAACTGGAATAGAGTCAGCAAGCCAGCCCCTGTCCATAGCCTGTGCCCTTTCCTGCAAAAGTAGCACAATGTGGAAGCAATGCACTGGAGAAACTGGACACAATTGTGTATCTCTGCTCTCCTGCACCTTTAGTTCAGCTTTTGCTACTGTCCTGCTAAGGGTCACCCTTCATTTTTCCTTGAGTGTGTATTTTTTACCCCCAAAGAGCACTTTTCCCTTGAGATAGTTTGCATTCCCCCTTGAATGTGTATTTTTCTAAGTAAATCTGTCTGTATCTTTGACTGGTGTGTGCTAAAGTTCCTTTCCATCATAGATGCCAAGGACCCCATTTTTCCTGAGTGGAGATTCCCCTCTCTGGGTATCCCTCCAGAGACACTACCTAGTATTTCACAGACTCCAGTCATTTTATTGTATCCAGGACATCATGAATTCTATTATTTATTAGTCACCTGGATGCTTTTTGAAAACCCATATTCCTGGGAGCCCCAGGTCTACAGTCAGAATCTCTAGGAGTGGGACACAATTTATATTTTTCATTAATGACCCTAGAGGTTTCGGTGCACAATAATATGGAGGATTGGTGTACTAGAGTATTTGGTGTTCATCTTTCTGTTGTTTTATTTTTTAATTTTTAACTCATAGTTATGTTCTATGTATGAAGTATGTAATTATGTCTGTTTATATGTTTCAGTATTCTAAACCAGGTATGGTGGTGCATGCCTATAATCCCAGTAACTTGTGAACCTCAGTCAGGATTGCAAGTTTAAAGACAATCTTAGCAATTTCGTGAGGCCCTAGACAATTTAGTGAGACCCTGTTTCAAAATTCAGATGGCTGGGGATATGGTTCAGTGATAAAGTGCCCCTGTGTTCAATGTAAAAAAAAAAAAAAAACAACAACAACAACATCTTATTCAATACAGAATCAGTCTAACCCTCATGATTTTCCCACATTCAGTCCTCACCCAGACTTCCTGAGCTCGGAGAAAAGAAAATTGCTGCTGCCTGGTTTGTTAGCCAGAATCAGTCTCTATTTTCCATGGAGAAAGGCAGGCATTTAAAACAAACTTGAATAAAACCTACAACATCAGGAAAGACATAAAAACACTAACAAACACAAAAATTAAATAGCAAGAATGGAATCACAGGATAAAATGAAATGTGACAAATCACTGGAAATGTCCAGGGATGCATAAGTTCCGGGTCAAGGACATGAGCTGTAGCTATCCTACCCTTGGGAAAGTGGCTGTGTAGACCCAGGCACACAGCCAACCCTAGGAGCATCTAGTGGGGCTGAATCTGGTGACCCAACCTGAGGTGTTGTGACAATTCAGCTGCCCTTGTCACCAGACAAACACTCTCTCAAATGCTCATAAACAGTATTCTGTTCTAGACCAGAGGCTGACATAGACACCCATGGGCACACCTAGGACCTCAGATGTTGCTGTGGACCCAGAGGCACAGTGGAACCAGGAGAAAGCAGATTCAGTCACAAGGGACACCAGATGGAGCAGTTTATCCATTCCAGACTGATTTCCAGCTCATTGTAATTTATGGTCCCAATCAAGTTCCCACAGATCAGAGCTATAACAGTCTGGTCAGCTTGGACTGAGGAGTCAGTTTGAAACTTGCCCCTGTAAGAATTAGGGTGGGGGGGGGGGAGGAAGCAGTCCCAAGTGTCTGGGGTGAATACACCCCCTTCCCGAGAAGTCATGAATAATGGTCCCATTCCTTAAGGAAAATCCTCACCTTTCCAGGCTTACTGGGGTTTTTGTTGTGTTTTGTTTTACTGGGGTTTAAACT